TAACCTAATACCTACAGAAGTGCTTTGTAAAATCTTACCATACTTAAAAGATAATAAATTTTTATTCATCATTTTTACCTCCACTGATTTCTAGAAAGAGTTTTAGTTCAGCTACAGTGAAGGTACAGAGGCAGCTGAACCATTAAAGCAAAGATAAAAGAACAGGAGTCATATAATGAAAATAGCAGATAATTGTTCCAGAAAAATCTACGTTAAGAATAGTGGTATCAATTGAACACTAAATTTAAACCTCCTGGCAGTTAAGGCAAAACATTGTTAGGCACATGACTCGCCTTCATCTATGAAATGAAGCATGTTGGTTTATTAGGCGAGACAGAACTTTTTTCTGTTTTCTGGGCAGAAGAGACTGTTTTCTGGGCACACACCTGTGTACACTTTCAGCTGCCCTTGCAGTCGGAATGTGAGTCCAGCTCACGAAAACCTTCCCTACGTGCTCCTTCATACTCTCCCTCCTGCTACTAGCTTGATGCATGGCAATCACGGAAGGTGGGAGAGGGAAGGAGCCTGGGCACCTGAATCCTTACTTGGAGCTGCCGACCAATTAGAAATATCTACTTTCTACTTTATATGAGCAAGAAATAAACCTCTATTATGTATGAGCTATTATATTTTTTTACACAGTTTGCACACCCTATAAAAATAAAGATTTTCTAATTTGGGACTTTACTGGATAACAATGTATAGAGTTTTTACTATCAGTTTTACCTTAAAAAAATGTTTAAATGATCTTCATGGACTATCTCATATTTTATCAGAAGCAAGCAAAATCTAATGGTTCTGAGAAAGGGGAATAAAACAAAGATGGGGGATATTATTTGCATTGGGATGGTAATGCCTGGAATAGAAAAGAAAGAAGCAAGAGACGAGAATACTTCTGGAACATGAGACATGTCCAGGAAGGCCTGTCTGTTTGGGGACCTTACTAGTGAAGATACAGTGAGCATTGAGAAGGCTGAGAGAAGACTGGAGCCTTAATGAACTGGGGGAGGCAGTTTAGAAAGAAGGACAAATAAATAAGGGGAAGGTAGGAAAGAACTTAACCCAACTTTCTGTATTCCCTTAAAGTCTAGGCTGCCTGGCAGGGTCTCAGAACCCTCAGCTTTGTCCTGTGGGAGCAAGGAAGAGTCATTCATTGGCTCTGCTGTAGAATCTGTCTATAGGCAGATTCTTGGGAATTTTATAAAGACAATCAAGCATGAGGATATCATAAATTCTGTGGATTTAATCATTTTATTACATCTCGAGCACAATTTTCAGAACTACGGAATTGCCTCCTGAACTTCTCTAGGCTTTTCAGACTAAGTTAGCATAAGTGCACTGTGTAGATTCTATTTGCTCCCAAGATAGGTTTGTTCTGAGAACCTCCCTGAACTTCTCTGGGGACTGCCTCCTGGGATTTTTGCTCTGCCTCTCTCAATGTTTTGGCCCTTCCTACTTTGAGCATAAATAGCTCTCCTTTTGCATATGGTTTAAATTTCATTTCTAGCTATTCAAGCTAAAGATTTAGTAGGGCTTGGGCAAATGGCAGCATGGAGTAGACAGGGTAGGACCAGCCCCTGGTTCTGGGCCCAACCTTGGCCAGAACAGACATTTCAGGAGATGATATACAGACACAGTTGCTGTTGGAAGCAGGTCAGGACGTAACCCAGTGAGTCCAGCAGTGTAAGCATCTACAGTCCCAGGCCAAACGGGCAGCAAGGCATCAGGGACCAAAGAACAGAGTCCTGGCATGCAGAGGTCAACAATGGAGAATTCAAGGAAAGAAATGCTTAGAAACCTACATAGCCAGACTCTTAGAAGAAACTCAATACATAACAGGTTCCAGGGGGGCTTTTCCAAAACTCAATTTCCCTTGGGCCAGAATTTCCACCTTAGGCATTCCTATAACATCATCAAACCACAGCCATCTTTCTTTACATAGTAGCTAGCTTTTGAAGTATCTAAGAAAATGTAAAATATGGTTGACATCAAAATAATATGAATGTCCAGAGACCATGTCATTTCTCTAAGCATTGCAAGTGCAACAGGAAAGTTTGAGTAACAACCATTTTACAATTCTATGAATAATACAAATTTCATTGCCTTCAAGTTGATATATGGCTTTTTGGACACCGTCACTTGAAAGAAAATGAAATCCACAAGTTACTTTTCTAGTATGTCTATCTAGGTAATTGCTTTGTTCCAAAGATAAGGATTAATTTAAAACAAAATAAAGTAAGATGTAAAAAAGTAAAAAATAAAAAAATAAAGATGAGGATAAAGACATCAATTAACAGCTTTTGAGTGCTAATAAAATAGGAAGTAGGAGATGGAAAAATGAACCCTTTGTACTCTTCTAAGTGAATTTGTCTTTGCAACTCATCGCTTCCACTTCCTAGCACACCTAAAAGGAATGCAGAAGCACAGTTGTGTTATTCAAAGTTTAACTTCCTTTAGGAAATGTATGAGTTAGAATCAAGAGAATGTTAGTGGCCATGTGGTGCAACCGCTACTCACTGAATATATAATACCTATGTTAACTGAGTACTTACTCTGTGCCAAGCATTCTTCCAAGGATTTTCCAGATACGATCTTACTGAATCTTCACCACAACCTTATTATCCCCACATTAGAAACAAAGGAAACTGAGGTCCAAACGGCTTGAGTGATTTGCACATAGACACATTGTAAGAGGCAAAACTGGGATTTAAATCCAAGAAATCATATTCCTAGAGCTCAAACTGTAAGTGATTCCAAGTCATTTATACCGTCCTATGATAAATGTAAGCACTCCTTCCTTTATTCCTAAATGCTACTACTAAGATTTATATGGTATGTGTATTTCCTTTGGAAACATATGTGAAACATTCAGTACACAATTCAAAGACCCAACTTCCCTTTTTTCAATTAAGGATAAGGACTTTATCTATATCTGACAACTTTTCAGCCCCAAATAAGCAATCTGGGTACCCAAAACAAGATAAGAGATAAGGGGACCTAGTGCCAGAATCTTGGCATTGCCAAGAGCATGTCTTTAGTGACTGGAGTACAAACCACTGACTTTAAGGTCCCGTGTTGCTGGACAGCAGCTGACGGCGATTTTTCCTTTTACAGCAATCTACACCTGTGGACTGTGGGCCTAACGCTCATGACAGATGGACTGAATGCCACTGAAACCGCCTTGTGTATCATTGTCCTCTAGGTCTCCATTCTGGGCTTGGAAATCATATTGTCTCAAGGGCCTAACTCTTAGTCCTGGTGGCACATTTGCCATTAGATTATTCCATTCTGTGTCTATTGAGTCTGTTAAACATGGACAGACTTCTTTTTCTCTGGAAAGTACGTCTGCAAAGCTCAATTCCTTTTTTAAAAACTGTCATTAGATTTTCTAGGTCCATGTAAGCTCTGAATTGCAATCTATTCACCCTCCGTAATACCTGCTTTTCCAACTGGTAATTTCAAAATAAGTGATCCAGTCTTCGAAACATTTAAAGTAAAACAAAACAAAACCAAAAAACCAACAGCTCGAGATTGATTATCCCGTTTCACTGGGTTCACTCTAGGCTGATCAGTGGTTTGAAGAGAACACCCACCCCCACCTTCTGCAGCAGTTTCACTCTCTAACATACTGACTTTATAATGTCGACTCTCTTAACCAGCCCTAGAATTCAGATTCTTTGTGTTCTTAGCAGAACAAACCACCACATTTCTGTTCATTCCAGAGTCAAAGCTGTCATAGTCTGCTGTTACGTTTCTCTGAATGTCCTCAAGCTGTCAAAATGTTTGCAGTGTCTATCGAAATATGCCAAATTCATTTGGGGCATTGGACATGAGCAACACTGAAATTTTGCAGACAAATGGGGTTGGATGAATAGCAGATATATGACAATTAAAATGAGAAAAGTGTAGGGCAGAGGATGCCTTTGCTACTAAATATGATAGATTATATTATAAAGAAATGATTGATATAAGCAGGATGTTAATTTATCATTGCAGGTAGAATCGAACTTGTTATGCAAAACAGGACATGGCAGACTTTTTCAGTAGTTAGCAACATTTTGGGGGAGAGATAAAAATTAAAATTTATGCCAATTACAGACCAATATAATTGTCCCATTTCATCATGCTTTATTAATTTCAAGGTGGTATTCCAAAATATTGTATGTCTGTTTCAAATTAATGTGGATACTCCCAAGCACCCTCGGAGGGTCTTCTGAAAGCCTGAGAACATATTTTAGCAAACATAATGAAGTAGAAAGGATGGAGGCTCATGTCCACCTAAATTCCACAGCATGAAGGAGCACTTCTTCCTATTCACATGAGAAATTAAAAATCATTATGTATGCTGTTTACTATGCATAGCTGCCGAATTCAAATTAATTAAGATAGAAGGAAGTTATTTATTTATAGTTAAAATTCCTAAGGCCTGTTTTATATATAGAATTAAAAGGATAACTTTAAGTTTCATTTTGATGAGCATTGCCCCAATATTTACCCAAAAAAGTGGGAGACTGGTCTCTCGCACGGGATCTTGGGACAATAAATTGCCAAAATTAGCTTTGAAAAGGAGTTGAGTCACTTGGAGTGAAGCAGGGGAGAATGTTTGCAAACTGCCTATTTGCATTTCCAGAGTTCTCCTTGAATGTTCCATGCAAGGACAGTTGTACTGGGAGTCACCTTAGAGGTCTGGTGTTCCCCACTCACAACCACAACTTCCAGGTTTCCAAAACTGTGATGATCACTAAGAAAAATTTTGTCAGAGAATTAATCCTTCCTTGATGACAATGATATTCAACAGCAGCAATTGCAAACTAAATAATATTATTTGGCCCAAAGAACTGAGGGATAAAGTTACTCTGGTGTTAAATTCAAGCCTGACTGATTCTTTTCAATTCCCTGTTTTAACCATTGAATATATCAACAATTTTAAGAGAAAAACCTGTTTCACCCCAGTCTTCATGAACAATTCAAATTCTCCAGTAGAGAAGATTAAGGCTTACCTCAAAGGCACTCTGTATTTTGCAAAAGTCGCCCACACTGAGCTGGTTTTCAAGCAGGGCTGGGCAGGGGCCTTCATCTGTGGTGGCACCTCCTGCCCTCCCAGGGCTCTTTGACCCAGGCTGTGGCCCCTTGTTCAACTCAAGCGCATTCTGGTAACTCATAATGGCTTCACCCCTTTTCAGCTGCCTTCAACTACTTTGACACTTTTTTTTCCCCTTCAACAGGTGCCTTTGAAAAGAAACCCAATTTAGCAGAATTCCAAAATGAAAGCACATTTCAAGGCAAACAGTGAGAAGGCAAAATGTTCAAGGCCAAGAGGTAAGGAATAAAAGCCCTCAACCCCCACCCTTCTTTAATTCCACAGTTTACTTCCAAAATCTGTCGAATCCTTTTAAAACCCCCCTCCTTATATTCTGTTTAATCTGGCTTGATTAAAAATGCATAAAACTTCCCCCATGTTTATGCCAACTGACAGAACCACAGAAAGCATCTTCTAAATCTCATTTTAAATGCATTAGAAAAGCAACTTCTCAAAATCTCTTTGGCTAACCTTGCTTCTATTAACATGTTGGGGTTTTAAACTCCATTTTCTTGTAGGACGCAGATGCAAGACTTCTGTCCCAGTGAAGGGCTTGTCTCTGAAGGCCACCTTCCCAGCAATGTGGAATTCTTTGTTTTCATCTGTTCCTGCTGCCTTTGTATGTTTCCTGGCAACCAAAGTCAAGCCAACTCAAACTTTCCCTTCACCACACCCCCCTACAACTAATTACTGACCTGACAGTCTGCATGTGTGATGTGAATGTTGGTTTTTTTTAAAGGACAATTCAGCTCACTCACTTTTAATTAAACTTCATTGCTATATTATTAAAAGGTAAGTTTTATAAATATATTTTCTATGAAGCATGCTATATATTATGAGATAATAGGATTAGCCAAAAGAAAAGAGAAATGACATTCTGGAATTGTATGTTTTCCATGTAGGAAACATTTTATTCTTAATTAATAAGGATCTGTTCCTTTACCTTCTCTTTTCTTAGTTTCTATGTACCTAAAATGGGGATATTGTTCAATTCATTGAATAGAAGGGGAAAAACCACAGCATAACATGATAAACTTTGTAATAAAACCACCTAACAGTACCGTCATTGGCTCAGCTAATACTAATGAAAGGGAAGAAAAAAAAGAAAAGTTAACTTTTTTTTTTTGAGTATTTACCATGTGCTAGCACTACACTAAGCACTTTGCATTCTTTTTCTTGTTAAGCTTTACAATAACCCTGAAAAGCAAACAAGATCGCTGTCCCCACTTTACAGATGAAGAGGCAAAGAAAATGCCAGAAGCCACAGAGTTAATAAGGTATGGATTATGGCAGGGTGGCTCCTGAGCTTCAGAGACTGCTCTAGGGATAGATGTTCTCTCTGCACCTTAGGTTCATCTTTGTAAAAATTAAAAGTTGTCACTCGGTATTTTCTAAAGTCTCTTCCAGCTCTATCATTCTATGGGCTCGTGTTCACAAGACCCTTGGTGATGCACAGTACATTCCCTAGAACACAGAGAAGGAAGCATCCTACAGGCATTCCTGTACCAGTTGGAAGGAAGAAAGGAAGGAAGGAAGGAAGGAAGGGAGAAAGAAAGAGAGAAAGAAAGAAATGTCATTCACGCATCCATTTAATTTATCCATCTCTCTGCCCACGGTTCATTCCAAAAACCATTTATTAAGAACCTACTGTATGTCACGTCCTGAATTGGACCTTGTGCCTGCACCTGAGGGGTTTATAGGCTTGTGGGAGCAATTACCTGGTTAGATCATCTTTCTGCCAATCCCAACCTCTTGCTGTTTACAGTGCTGTGTCGAGAAAGATTCTGAAGTCATAGGAAAAGAGTGGCATTATAGATTACAGATATGTATCACAGGCACAGAAGGGCAAAGGGGGGGCATGTTTACCACAAATTTGCCTTTCCTGTTAGACCTTCATGTAAGTTAGGAGAATGTTTGTAAGCCCTAATATAAATTCCCCTAAGTTATCTCACATAGGAACAAAATAGGTCTTTTTACCATCCTAATTAGAAAATTAATAATAGTTAAAAGCAGCTGGATCAGTCCCACAAATGTTTGTAAAATATTTTATAGTGATATTCTGGAGAGTTGGGCTTTGTTCAGGAAGAGACACTAATGAGGGAAAGCTGAGAAAATAGAAAAACCATTTTCTGAAGCTGTCCTGGGAGAGGTAGGTATCCAATGGGCTAACGATGCAAAATTCTCTAATTATTCTAAGACAGTCAAAACGCCTGGCCTACTTAGCTTCCATAAAGATGCAGCTCTAAACATTTCCATTAGTCAAAACAGGAAAGCATAATGAGCAGCTAATAAATTACTGCAGAAGTTAATGAATTGACACAGTTTTCTTTATGTAAGATTACGGTGTTAGAAAGAATTCTTGATTGTAAAGTCTTAAAGGGCTTTAATGTTCTTTGTAACTGTGTGGTTAATTTTTAGGTTAAACTTCCAAGGCACTGTAAAATCCATAAGTAGTCTCTTGACTCTGCTGAAATCTACCTGCTTGTTTGCCATGAATCAATTATGATTGTGTAAAAGCCTGCCACGTGGCCAGTCCAATATCGGGCTCTATGGGGCAATGTGCAGGGATGAAGACAGTGTGTGCTCTGGAGGAGTGGTCAGGAGAGAAGGCTGGCAAACTGGGGCGCCCTTGCCCCCTTCCCCCGTAGGGACCCACCGACACTCACCAGCACAACGGAGCGTTCCCTCAGGAAAGAGGGCAGAGCAAGCTGACGCACCCACTGACCTGTGCTTTCTTTGGAACCTTGGCACTGAATCATTCTCCCCACTGAGCACACCTCCCTCAGGGTTCTTATCAGAATTCCCGGCTCCACCCCATACTTTATAACCACCCGCATAAATGTGGGCCTCATCTTTCCTCCAATTCCCCTTCATTTGTTTGCCCTCCCCTCACACTGAAGCCAATTCTTCCTGACGTTCTTCACCTTTGCCTAGAATTCTCCCTCCAACCCCTCACTGTAACAGGAAGCAGCTTTCCCTTTCCAACCCAGTTTTCCACCCAACCCTTCCAAGTCAAGGCTGTCCCCAGTCCCTGTTCCTCGGGGAATCGCAGAAGGGTGTCCCCCTGGTATCGTGGCTTCTTGAACCCATGCCTTCCCCACATGGCCCCAGTGGCCAAACACCCCACAGCTCGGGTTAAACACAACCCCCTGCCAGAGCCTGAGGGAAAGCACTAGGCTTGCCTTTGGCAACTTTTAAGCCCTCAATAAATATTAGCTTCTTTCCTTCCTTGTTCCTGATCCTCCCAGTTAGAATTAATTACTCCTCCCACCCTGCAATCACAGCATTTTGTTTATACTTTAAGCACAGCACTTTTTCTTTCCGCTTTGCAGTATAATTAGTTGCCTGTGTATCCCTGTCTCCTACTACGTTAACTCCCTTAAGAACAAGGATGATAGCTCACTAAGGCTCTAGACTTACATCGCCAACACCGAGCTGTGCATAAACCACACGACAGTACGGTACACAAAATGGGCTGGACGGAAAGTGAGCGTCACGCATAGCTTTGAGTTTTCAGGGAAGGGTCCTGGGAATAGGTGGCATTGAATCAGAAACACAGGCAGAATTCCATGAAAAATAAAATGAATGAGGGAAACAAAATTTAAGATTGGATCCTCAAAGCGCTTAGAAAAACCATTTAAGCACTTTTGAAACACAGCATTTTTTTATACATACAATTTCTATGTAAGATGGAAATGTGTGGAGACCCTATTCTGTCCCAGACACTGCTCTAGGCACCAGAAAAGCAATAATGAATGAGAGCCACCCACCATTGCTCAGAGACACAAGTAACAGGAAATGTTGGTTTTAAATTAGTCCTACCTTTTGAGAAAGCAGATTCTCAGTTAAGTCTGGGGCAACATAATGTTTGCCTTTTTTGATCTGCCAAACAATGTCCAAAGTAACAAAACTGTATTTTCATAACAGCACTTCTCAGACTGTCCAAGTGAACACTTTTTGTGAACACTTTTTGTGAACACTTTTGTGAACACTGAGAATTCACAAAATAACGATATCCTAAAATAACTAAATATATAATTCTGCAATACATTGCATATCATAAATTTAAGTTCTGGTCGAAGCAAGCAGTGGCAGCCAAATGTAAAAATATGTGGAAGTGGAATGTAAAATTAAGAAAATTCTAATTATTGACAAGTATTTCTACCATTTGAAAACGTGCCTTCTACCACTGTGATTTTCTTGTACCAGTAGACACATAGGATCCACTGAACTGGATATTGCAAATCACCGCTTAAATAATTTCTCAAGTTCAAAGGGCGCCTGGGTGGCTCAGTCTGTTAAGTGTCTGCCTTCTGCTTAGGTCATGATCCCAGGGGTCCTGGGATCAAGCCCCGCATCAGGTTCCCTGCTCTCCTTCTCCCTCTGCCCACCTCCCCACCCATTAGTACCCTACTCTCTCTTTCTCTTTCTCTCATCTCTCCCTCTCTCTCGCTCTCTATCTCAAATAAATAAAGTCTTAAAAATATATGTTCTCAAGTTCAATCTTTTTATACAAACTCTGATGGGTATTCCCGACAGTTAATCACTTTTGAACACCTCTTTGCTTTAACAAATCCTTCTCCTTGAAATTCCTTGTCCATGCCCCAAGTACCTATGGGCTGATTGCCAGCCGGGCTTTCACTGGGGAGCCACTTTCTGGGCGATTACTCTGAACTAGGTTACCAAATTCCTTTCTGTTACCTCTCTGAGAGGACACTGCAGTTTATTCTACTAGGAGCTTTAGAACAGTTTGTCAAAGTCACCTTGATATTGAACACTTGCATCCATGTATAGAACCACTAAAACATAGTCATAAAATCATTGCATGAAAGGAGTGACTGGAAATCCAGTAAACGTTTATTGATTTTCTCCGTGAAGAAAGAGAGAAAGCAAGTAGGTTGAAAATGAAAAATTATTGTGTTCCAAAGACTGTTAGGCACTTTCACAAATGTTATTTTATTTAAACCTCATGATATCTGTGCAAGATACTTAATATTTTCCCATTTTTTTTAATAATGATGGAACTAGACAAGATTAAGTATCTTGCCTAACCTTACACAACTTGTAAATTGCCTAATCTAA